AAAGAAGAACTTCATTATATATATATTTTTTAAATGGATGACAGTGGGTACCATATCATGGAATTTAAATGTCATTCAGTACATTTTAAAAAGTGATGTCCCAGGCGCCAGGGTGGCTCAGTCCATTGAGTGTCCGACTTAATTTTGGCTCAGGTCATGGTCTCAGGGTCATGGGATCGAGTCCCATGTTGGGCTCCAAGCTCAGTGCAGAGCCTGCTTGAGATTCTCTCTCTCCCTCTGCTCTTCCCCTGCTCACACTCTCCAAATAAATAAATAAATAAAATCTTTTTTAAAAAAAGGTGACGTCACAGTTCCATTTTAAAATGTAAATATAACATGCTAAAAATGCATCACTTGTAACTATTCACGGTTACAGTGAAAACGTTTAGCTGTCTATACAAGCCCAGTGAAGGGATCCATACTTTTCCAAAGTTCTTTTAGGGGGTCACTGAGCACAAAAGTTTGAAGACTGCTATTGTAATGCACAATAATTTTTAGAAAAACTACCATAAAAGATGAATCTTGTGACAAGTGGTCTTTAAATGCATTGTTAAAGACCCATTTTAGCACTCATTATTTCCTACTGATGCTTTCTTTGCTTTGTTCTCTGGGGCTCTGCCTCCCTCTCTACCCCGCATCTGAATTCACAACACCCCAACAGGGACCAAAGTACGAGATTTCCAACACCACGTGTCACCCCTTGAAAGGCTAACTACCCTCCTAACGTGTGAAGTCTGGATCCATTATAAAAGGAGAAAAATGTAACTATAGTACAATAAAGTTTTCATTCATTTTACCACACGATGCACTCACATTAATTATAGCAAGCTCTTAATTAAAAAATGTATTTTGTGCAGAATTTATTTCAGTGTTTCATTTTCCTGAAAGAATTTAAGTCAACCACAAAAACGTGTGTGCATGTGAGCAAGTGTGTGAATGGGTGTGTGCACACGTGGAATTTATAGGGCATGTACAACTTCAGGTGTACCCTGGAAAGCCCAAGGCCTTGGAGCAGAGCTTTCTCTTGTTTAGGGTCAGCTGAGGTGCATGGAGACTGATGTATCTAGAAAAGTCCTACTCTTCTTTAAACCACGCATTCAATTACTATTGTAATGAACCATAGACACTTCAACTATTCCATCAAAATGGGAAAAATGTAATTACTAGCTTCTCACGGAGAGTTTCAAAGGATTGCCTAAAGAATAAACTAGACTCCAAGTGGACTCTTCGGAGTCCCGTTTGGTTGGTTGGGGTTTGGGATCTGTACAGCTGTTCTGGATCAACAGCTGTGTGTCTAACAAGGTCTGTCCACCTTTAACTTTACACCAGTGAACCTCTTCCCAAACACAATACCATAGTCTCAGTGATGACAAAAATGGGAAATCTCTTAAGAGAGCTCTAGAAGAAATACACTCTTGTATTGAAATCTCATTTTTGTCTCTACCATGTCAGGCACATGAAGCTAATCCCTTAAATTCTTCTATTATTATTATTATTATTTATTCATTTGAGACAGAGAGAGAGCACAAGCAGGGGAGAGAGGCAGTGGGAGAGGGAGATGCAGACTCCTCACTGAGCAAGGAGCCCGATACGGGGCTCCATCCCAGGACCCTGAGATCATGACCCAAGCTGAAGGCAGATGCTTAACCATCTGAGCCACTCAGGTGCCCCGAATCCCTGAAATGCTTAACGAGAAGTTATTCATACGGGGGAGTATGCTTATTGCAAACTGCGAAGCCCACCGTGTGGCCCATGTGTGTAGGATATTTTCTTTTTTGAATTTATTTAATTAAATATTTTTATTTAATTAAATGTTTTTATTATTGCAGTATAATAGACAGACAATGTTACATCAGTTTCAGGTGTGTAACATAGTGATTCAACACCTCCATATGTTACTCATCTTTTACCGTGAAATGTTATTACAGTATTATTATTGACGACGCTCCCTGTACTGTACTTTTCATCCCCAGGACTTATTTATTTGGCGACTAGAAGTTTGTACCTCTTGACGGCCCACCACCATCACCCCTGCTGGCAGCCCGGCTTTGTTCTCCGTGTTCTCCAGGCTCGCCTGACCTGGCTGAGGAAACCCATTCGGCCCCCCTAGCCCTTTTTACCCACTTTGTGTTGAGAGCTTTGCCACAGCTGGCCTGGCGGGAACATTACCCACCGGGTGACGAGAGCTATTTGGGGATGAGTGCCCCGTTCTGACAAACCCCCATCAGCATTCTCAGAGCTGGCTTTTTGCAGGGCATCTAGCTGTGGTTTTCAAGGCTCAGGCCTGGACACGTTCCCACCTGGCTGTGGCTGGGCTGGGCTGGTCTGGGGCACCCTCCCGCGCCCCAGGGACAGCCCTGCACTTCTCTGGCCTCTGTCATTTTGCCACCTGGCCTTGACCGCAGCCACAAGGGTCTGGGGAATGTCAAGGGACCCCCACCGCTTGGCTCAGTGTGGGCACAAGGGGGTCTCTCAACAAATACTGTTGGAATGAATGGCCCTCCCACCTCATTATGTGATACTGTGCCCGAGGTACCATAGCCTACTTATTTCCCCTCATCCTGTGGTGCCTTCGCTGCTCTCCAGCCATTGTCACGAGGAAGCAGGTGCCTTCTCTCTGCCTCTCCGTGACATTCCAGTGTGTGAGGTGGTGTGTGCAGATCCCGAGGACCCACCGAAGGCTGCGTTTCTCACCCTTCCTGGCTGAATCTCTGAGTCCCATGGGCCTCCGATTCCCTAAGATGTCACGAATCTTTGAAAGTGAATCTGTGACTTCAGTGAAGATTAGGGGTCCTCCGCGAGACGCCCCCAATTCAGAATTAAAGGCATCTCTCATCCGTAACTGCCTGCTCTGCACTCCAAACCCCCTGATTACGCAGGAGAAGAGAGAGAGGCAGCAATTATTTATAATAACTTTATTAGGTATAATTTGCATCGACCCTCTGAAAGGATCGCGTGCGCTTCTGAAAGCTGCGTCGAAAATGCAAGCGCCCATCCTTGACCCTGCCCCGTCCTGCCTGTGCACAGCAGTGTCCCTTTCTTCCTGGGAAGGACAGGTACAATTTGTCACCACACCAATTACACGTACTTGCTGTTGACATTCTTTTATCAGATAAATCACTTGTACTTATTATGCTGAAGGCAGTTTCCATGAAATTCTCACATTATGAAAGTCTGGGTTTTGGCCGACATGGCAAGCGCCGGCTGTCTTTCGACCAGGGACGCAGAGATGCGCGTCCTAACGGCATGTGTCTGTGGCTCTTCTCTGGGATGAAAGCTGACATTTTTGGCGCCCTGTGCTTGCAGCTCTGGCCTCCACTTGGCCACTCCTGCCTAACCCAGGCATGTGGCCCTAACCCAGATGCCCACGCCCCGCACTTGCCAGGGACAAAGCGAGGGCTCGAAGGGCAAGAAGCCACATCTGAGTGTCACTTCCAGCAATTGTAGCACTTATGCACCAGGAGCTTTACGAACTGTGCCGTGGGCACCGCTAACCGGCCTCGGAAAGTCGCCCACCCTCAAGGACAGAGAACGCAAAATTCCAGGAAAGACCCCAAAAGCACTCGCTACTCTTTTTCTTCTAAAAGGGGGGGGAATAACATTTAAAACATTTTTTAAAGGCTTATTTATTTATTTTAGAGAGAGAGGGAGAGAGCGAGAGCTCGAGTGGGAGGGGCAGGGGAAGAGAGAATGTCCGGCAGACTCCCCGCCGAGCACGGAGCCTGACACAGGGCTTGATCTCATGACCCCGAGATCCTGACCTGAGCCGAAACCAAGAGTCTGATGCCTAACTGACTACACCACCCAGGCGCCCCTGAAACATTTCTAAAAACAGAAAGTCTTCTTCCCTCACAAGAATAATTTGTGCTCAGACACACACAATGGCGAAGTGGTGAGGGCGTGGGCTCAGTGCCAGTGTCCCCACCTCGCGGTGCCGCGGGTGCCAGGAGCCTGCTGACCAGCCCTCCAAAGCCTGGCCTCCTCACCTGCTTGGTGGGGACAGAGGCACCTGCCCACCAAGCTTTCAGGAGAACTTAGTGACAGCACACATTTTAAGCATTTAGCTTAGTGCCTGGTACAAAGACAGTAGTTTTAGGGTGGGGCTATCATCTTTTTATAATTATCAGAAAGCAAAAAAGACCCCCTTACCCAAAAACTGTCACTGGGAAGTGGGGCATTGGCCTCATATGCAGATATTTAGGACCAAGCGGAGCCTGCTTTTGCTTAGCCAACTGCAGGGTGGGAGCTGTGCAAACACGCAAAGAACACACGTCCGTCTCCCTCCCCGAGATGAAAAGGTGAGCGGGTGGTGCCGCCCCCTGGACCAGCCTTCCGGAGGGACCCTGGCAGCTGGACGAGTGCTCTGTGCTCTGTAGGATGACAAAGCCCACAAACGAATCCGAGGACAGTAGGACGGCCCCGCCCGTTATGATTTATTTTTAATTCATTTTTTAATTTTAATTAAAAAATTTTAATTTTAATTCATATTTTAATTCATGGTTTAATTCATTGGCTTCTTTGGTGCCATAACAATCTGGATTCAACAGACTTTGAAATGTTTTCAGTGAGATGGTATTAATAAATTCCTTTTTAAAAAAATTTTTCGGATTGGATGAGCGACAAGGTGGTATATTTTTGTATAGCTGCCTCAGACGTTGGCTGGGAGTGTGTGGGTTTGGAGATAGCACCGCAGTGTGAACAGCGGCAGAAGCGTGTCACAAGGAGGCTAGGCGGTAAGGTAACAATGATTCATGTGGATGATACATCGTGGGGCCTTTCTGGTCCTAATTCTGCGGTGAGCATAGGGAGCAGACTGGGCGAGCAGCGAAACTGTTGCATTCATTGTTAGCACTAGAGGAATTCAGCAGGCTGGACATCTGCACACCTCAGAGATTGCCAATTAAGTTAACAGCAAATGAAAATTGTAAGCTGGTCAGAAAACATGATTTTTTTTGAAAACGTGAGTTTCTTGATTTTTTTCCCCCAGATTGGTTAAACTTCCTTGGACTTTATTCTGTATGTAATACAAGAGACAGAATGTCTTTGAAATGAGACCACTGCGGTAAATTCCACGGAGGGCAGCCGTTTATAGGGTCCTGTATGGTGGAGCCATGACACTGGAGTATGTGCGTGCGTGCACTCTATGTGAAGCCACGTGCCAGCCTCTGGAAGACAGGGACTTAGGACGTGTCAGGTCCTGCTCGACTGTGGAGATCACGGAGCCTGACGGAGATTCCGCCACGCCGCCACGCCGCGTGGATGAAGGAGGCAGTGACCCCTGCATCATCACTCGGTTTGTGAGGGCGACCTGACGAGGCGGTCGGGAAGCATCCCGTGGGCACAGAAATGCTCGAGATACAAGAGCGACAAGAAGACCCTTGTCTGGGCACCTGGACAAGTTCTCATGGGGCTTCCTTTTCTTAGGAATAGCAAATGAAGTTGCAGTATAAAAACATTCTTATTATGGGCATACAGCTATTAAAATCCCACTGAAAGGTAATTTTCTCAGACCATATGTTGTATGATTCCACTTACGTGAAACGTCCAGAATCAGGGCCTCTCTGGAGACAGTGGGGAGATTAGTGGTTGCCTGGGGCTGAGGGTGGGGAGGGTGAGCGGTGGGGCTGCTAACAGGCGCCGGGCGCTTTGGGGGCTGCAGAGAACCTTCTAAAATGAGCTCGCGCTGACAGCCCGTGAGTGCGCTAAAGCCGCTGGATTCTTGGGAACAGAATTTATACCTCAATGAGGATGTAAAGCGAACCTTCCTTCTGTCTGACATCTGCAGGGCTCCCGTTTACTCTGATGTCGTCATTTGTTGTGGCGTCCAGGCAATGAGGTTAGTATTTGGTCCAATTTCCATGACGGTTTGTTTACAGCTGAGCAAGTTTATACGGGGCGAAATGAAACACTCCTATTAATTGTGTACAAGAACTCGTAGATGCATTCACAGTTCCCTTGATGTTGGAATGCAGAAATGTTTTACTGGCTTTCATTTTTTTTAAACTAAAAGGTTTGGTGTGCCGCTTTTAGATATTTCATGACAAAAAGTGTAATGTTTACTTGGTCCACATGTTGTCTGATTCTACAATATTAATGTAGATCAGGAAAAGCGAGGTTCCAGCCTAAAATTCTGCTTTTACTACGTGTCGAACAACACATCATTGCATTGTCTTCGCTTTCTATCTTTAGCTGGCTAATTGCAAATATTCTCGATTCTACTTTAGGAAGAAGTCAAGCCGTGAGTAGGGTCAGAGCCAAAGCCCCTGGGACCCCGAGAACGTTTAGCCGGGCCGCACTTTGGTCCAGACAGGCTGGCTTGGGTTCCAGAGCATGGGGGACAGGCCAGGCCTTGCTTACCTTGACATCTGAGGCTCCGCGGGCTTGTTCTCCTTTCCCCCTACTGCTGTGGGCTGAACCCCACCCTCGAAGGGAGTGCATGGCACCCCCAGGACAAGACGTGTGCGGGCTGCCCACCTGTCCCCCAGCTCTCCCCTCCTGCCCTGGCCTCTGGGGACAGCCTGCGTGCTGCTCTGTGAGCAAGGCCCGTCTTAGCCACGGCCTTGCCTCTGCCTCCTGCTACGTTTCACACGCTCGACCTAGAAGGAGCTGTGACGGAGGCTGCCAGAGTGAGCCGGAGCCGGAGCCCGAGGAGACGGGCCGGGAGACCACTGGGGCTGGCCACGCAGCGCTGTGTCCAGATGCTGAGGCCCATCCCACCCCGGACGGAATCCGAGGGCAGGGAGGTCGCAAGAGGGCTGCCATCTGGGAATGGCCGGGAAATTGTGGGGCCATAACAAAGGCAAAGACATTCGGAGGAGATCTTCCAGGCTTGGTAGAGAAAGAGGCCACACGCACCAGAGTTGAGCGCCAGTCTTGGGCTCACCCCTCACCCGCACAAGCACCAGTAAAATGTCTTCACTTACCATCGTTGAAAAGATGTGTGATTTAGACTTTTCTTGGCTTTTTAAAGGAATTGCTGCTTTAAATTTTCAGGCTGGAAGAATTGTTTGCACACGAAGTTTACGCCCTGAGTCGTATTTCTTCCCTCTCCTTCCACCTCGGCCTCCTCCCTGCAGCGGCTCTTCCCCCGGACTCCGCTGTCTCCTCAGACCCTCCCCACCAGGCTCCGTCCGAGGAGTGTCTGCTCCTCACCAGCCAGGACGGGCCACCGGCATGCAGCCCAGACAGGTTTTTATCTGAACTACGTTACACTGTAAACGGCAAGCTCCGGCAATCCGCTCACAAACTCAGTCATGTTCCGTTGGCCGTCAGGCCCTGTTGTGCATCAGAATGTGGACGTGTGGGGCTGGGCGGAGGTGCGGGGCTGCTGGCGGGCGTGGGAGCAGGTCCGGAGCTTTCACGGCCTCTGCTATCCGACTCCCGTGGTGTGCCTTACCCTCCCCCAACCAGCCCCTTGGTCTTCTCCGACCTGTTTCCGGCGGTCCTGGCACTCAGCACGCTCCAGGATCTTCTCTGCCCCATTCCAAATGCCATCACCTTCATGACAATCTTGTGCTATGGACTGAAGGCCGTGTCCCCCCAGACTTACATGTTTAAACTTCTCCCCCAAGGTGAAGGTGTCAGGAGGTGGGGCCTTTGGGAGGTGATCGGGTCATAAGGGTAGGACCCTCATGAGTGAGATTAGTGCCCTTGTAAGAGGCCCCAGAGAGCCCCCTTGTCCTGGTCAGTCATGCGAGGATGCCTCAAGAAGACAGACGTGCAGGAAGGAAGTGGGCTCTCCACACACGTGGAGTCCGCCAGCCCCAGCATGTGGTGTTCCGCGGCCACCCACACGGCCTCTCGATAGACGCCGACCCCCGAGCGCCCACAGCACCTGCAGGACGCCTCTCACACCGCGGTCAGCTTTGTATTTTGCTGTTTGTGCAGTTGTCTTACTCGTTCCGTGCGTCTCATTCACCCTGTTCTCTCTGGCGACACTACTAAGTGCCTAAGAAATATTTGTTATAACAAATAATAACTCTCAGCTGTTCCTACTGAAAATTTTAGGACAAATTTTTGACGGTAGAAACTTAGCACCCATCAGAGAGTGTGACACATTTATTTTCAGATGTTTTTTAAGGCACGGTGATGCCGTCATTAAATTTAGGTGCTAAGATAGCTCAGTGTCCCAGGATTAATGCCCCGCAGCACGTCCTCTGGGTCTTGATCTCTTGTCTCCCACTTACCAGCCAACAATCATGAGCAGGTTTTAAACTCTGAGTATGTTTCTGTACCCGAAGAATGGGAATGGAAATAGTCCCAACTTGAAGGATTTATTTGAGGACTAAGTGGGAGAATGCACACAAAGCATCCAGCCCAGTGCGGACACAAAGCAAACACGCGGAGGTGACGGCTTCCCCATGTCCACTCAGGCTGACCACTGATGCCTCTTCAAGGCCACCGCCTGTCGTTTCTCTAGGCCAGATGTTTGTAGGCCGAGCACCATGCCCACATCAGCTCTGTCTTACGAGACACAGAGACTGGGAGACACGGCATCAGATCGACATGATAATCACTGGCCTCTGCTGACATTCCACGAGATCCTTGGGACCTCAGCAATGTCCACTCTGAGTAGAGTGCACACCGAGCCTTCTCCTCCTCTTCCCTTTATAAAGGGTCGGTAATACACTTTGGTTGCATATGTTCCGTTACTCTGAGTTTGCTAATGCTCGACACTCCAGAAAGGAGGGAAGCAGAGCTCCCTCCAAAAACAACAAAAAACCCTCTAAATAAAAAATCCTCATTAAAGAATATTAATACTCATGAATTAAGAAAAACAAAAGGAGAAATTGCCTGGAACAAATTCAGATCACCCTTTGATCCTGTCCACGGACACGTACGAACGCCTGCTCCATCACACAGAGGCATGGGGACCGGAACGGAGCGTGGAGCCCACAGCCGCCCGTCCAGGTGAGCCGGACCCCTGTCAGCCCCGGACAGGGTGCTCACCTGTTCTCCTGTTCTCCGTCGAAAGCTGGATAATTGTGGGATACCGATTGGCACCCAAACTATTTTTCAGTGCGATACACAAATTATCATATGCTGATAGCTCTTTCCTTCCCAAAAGAAAAGTTAGTGTGAAAAGGTGGAGATTAAACAAAATAAAACCACAGGCTGGATTCATGGCTTTTTGCAAGAGGCCATACTGTTTCAAGTGATTTCCTAGAGAATTAAAATGCAACACAGGTTCGAGTATGAACGCAAACTCCTATGGACAGAACAACTATTATTAGACATACTTAAGTTTTTAAAAGCCACCTGTGGACATAAATGCAGTTTCCTTGTGTAAATTTAAACATTTTCACCTTCAGCATTTTGTCCTCAAAAAGTAGAGGCGTCACAAGGATATTCAGAGACACCTATCAGACCAAGACACTCTTATCTTACTTGTTGGCCAGCCCTGTGGGAGCCACACTCGTATTTTTAACTTCTGTGGTCGAGTCCCCACCTCATTATGGAACCCTTAGGGACCAACGACCTCCCTCGTGGTCCCAGGAACTCGGGGAGCATCTCGCTCCCCCAAACCTGTGTCACAGAAGGTCCCATATGAACAGTGTTGGGACAACAGGCAGCAGCCCCACGTTTTCAAAAGTCAAGTCATAAGGCAAGACAAAACCGGGGGTCCAGCGTGATACCGTCCTGATTCGCTCGTGTGGTGGTTTGTATGTGTGCAGTGTATACCCATCAAGAAAGAAAGGAAGGAAGTACGTGAAAACGTTAGCAAAAACAAAACAAAACAAAGCAAGCCAGTCATGGGCTTTGGGTGATTTTCCCTTTTTTATTTATTTGTATTTACCACATTTTCTACAATGAACATGAAGTACTTTGGAAATTGGAAGGGAAATCTTTTCAAAGTGAAATTTCATTGTGGGAACATTTCATTTATTTATTTATTTTTAAAGATTTTATTTAGTTATTTGAGAGAGAGAGCAGGAGTGGGGTGGGGCAGAGGGAGAAGCAGGCTCCCCGCGGAGCAGGGAGCCCCACGTGGGGCTCGATCCCAGGACCCCGGGATCACGACCTGAGCCAAAGGCAGACGCTTCACCGACTGAGCCACCCAGGCGCCGCTTTTTGTCTTTAATTTTCACGAGTCTATGACAAGTCTTGGTGTGGACTTGGGTTTTTGTTGCTGGGGTTCATCCACTCGGCTTTGTAGGTTTGTACCTTACCAAATTTGGACAGTTTTCAGCGACTATTTCTTGGAGCGTTTTCTTCAGCCGGCCGTCTCTCCTCCCCTCCGGGACTTCGCAGCCTGGAGCCTCAGCTCTTCTGGGGGAGCCGCGCGGGCCCCCGAGGCTCCGTCTCTTCAGTCGCTTCTCTCTGCTGTTCAGATGGGGCCACTCCTCTTGTTCTAGCTGCCGCCTCCCTGATTCTCGCTCTGTCCCCTTCTGCTGCTGAGACCACCGACTGTGCTTTCTGTCATGCCTGCTGCAAGGTTTTCATTCTCAAGCTTCTGCTCGGCTCTTTGTGTCTTCTGCTTCTTTGCCGGGTGTTCTCACGTAACATTTCGTGGGCCTGGAGTTCTTGTGGCGGCATCTTTGCCCGCGATGCTCTAACATCCGTGTCAGGACTTCTGTCACCTCTGCCATCTCAGAGTTGACGTTTATTCAGCTTGAGACCTTCCTGGCTCTTGGTAGGACGAGTGGTTTTCGACCGAAGCCTGGACGGCTTCACATCACGTTGTGAGCATCGGGACCTTATTCAGACCTTGTGCTTGGCTGTCTCTGCCCGGCTGTTCACCAGCCGCCCAGGTGGATGCGCCGCCTCACCTGTGCCCGGCGGGGAGAAGTCCAGGTGTGCACTGGCCTCGTTTGGCAGCTGCGTGGGGGTGGTCATTGCTGCCGCCAGGCCGTGGGGGCTCCGGCTGTCCCCCGGGGTCACCGCCAACACGAGGTGGGCGGGTGTCCACGTTACCACTGGGGAGGGTGGTCATTGTCCAGAGGTTGCCTGTCCTGCTGGGCAGCCCCTCTCCTGGTCCTTGGGCTGGAGAGAGCAGCTCTTCCGGGGGCTTCTCCGTCTCTGCCCTCTACTCTCTGGGCGGCCAGCTCTTCAGCTCTGAGTCTGGGGAGGCCCGGGGAAGTCTCTGCCCAGCTGGTCGCCTCCTCCCACCCCCAGGGTCTTCTCGGGTGTGCTTTGCAGGTGTTCTAGTTATTCTGGAGGGAGAGCATGACACCTCATCTTCCCGGAAGCCGGTTAGCACTGTTTCCACATCTCCTCTCACCCGTGCTGGCCTTTTTTAGCCTCCTAATCTTTTGATTGACAGAAGTCCTTAATTTTGATCATTTTGTCCCCCTTTCAGTTAGTAATTTTTATGTTCAGTTTTGAAAAACCTTCTCTTGGCCCATAAACGTATTTTAACCTGTGGAATTTTCTAGCAGATTTATTACTTTACTTCTTTCATTTATGCCTACATTTCACCAGGGATTGAGGTTTTGGTTCGGCATGGGGTACACAGAGCTCAAGTTTAAGTTTTTTCATCTGGATGCTCAATTTATGACCGAAGCAGCTGGGCAAGCAGCAAGGGAAGGATGCTATGCTTAATAAACAATGCTGGTCACGGATATTCATACAGCATCCACAAACGCAGAATGTCCCTCCCTATATTGAGATCTTCCACTTTGAAATTCAGGGTTTTTCGGATTTTAGAAAAGTAACCTGGTCCACATAGCATTTGCCACATAACATTGTTTGTCCCCTTTGTTATTTGAGAGAGACAGCAGGAGAGGGAGAAGCACATGTACAACCACCGAACACGCAGGCGCCTCTGTGTGTGTGGACACGTGCAGTGTGCAAGACCCACAGGCATGCACAAACACACCAGTGTCCCATAAGTAGCTTCACTTTAGTTCAGGTCAGGTTCACCATCAAATAAATTTTAGAACCACTTCGGATTTCCAAAACACTTCACATTTCTCGACAGTAACAGACGTACATCTGCACTGGGAAGGGCGCCGCACGTTTTCCTCTCTGACCCATGACAACAAAGTCACAGCTTCTACGAAGCCGAGTCACCCCAGTGACAACAGGCCCCCCTTCTGCTGGGTGGCCTCCTGGGGCTCTCGTGGGCACAGAAACGCAGCAGCAGGAAATACAGTGATCCCTATGTCCACACCCTTCCAGGCAGGCTCCTACAGAGGACTGGATTTCACGGCATTTCCCATGGAACATTGCTCATTTCACATAAAAAAGAAAGCAGCATAATTTGTAGATAACCCCCAATGGGAAACTTGGCAATTTAATTAAAAGCAGCTCTTGAGGCCTTAAGTATTTTATTTTTCATTGTCACAATTCTGGAAACCAACAGCCTAATATGCCAAGGGAGAGATGGGCAGCTGGTTTATCCTTAGCGGAACTTTCCTGAGAGTGTACCCAAACTGGGCTGCACAATTTGATTTGTAGCAATAACCCCAGTAGCTGTTAAGTGAGAACTTAGTATAATCGCTGAACTTTTGGACATAAGTTTCCTATCAAGACACCAGCCACACTGAGGTTCTCATTGTGCGTCCCTAGCTTGATTCCAGTATCTGTGCTTCCGACATCACATTTGCTTTGTTTCTGTCCTTGGTCATAAAGGGAATATTTTTAAGTTGATGGTCCTTTATCTCTTTTATCATTTTAAGCTTGTTCAAGTTTCTTGTAAGTATACTATCAGATGATATTTAGACCGTTCTACATTAAAGCCAAGCTCATATTCAACAACCGTACCCTAAAATTCATCTTTGGAGACATCAGCGCAAATGGTTTTTCTAGATTCTCTGAGTGTTACTTCGATATCACAAGGTTGTGGTGTTTGCTGGTCTACCGATGTCGTGCCACCCGATGGCCACCGTCGGTGGATCAGTCCACCACGCTGCATCAGGTTTCCGAGCGAGGACGCGACTGTAGAAGATGATCCGCTGTCTGCAGACCCAGATGCGCTCCAGAGCGCCGGCCGGCTTTGCGCGTCACCACGTGCCGTGTGTTCGGAACCATGTGCGACCTTGGGGTGCACTCTGCTTACGTGTTTTGGGGAAGCGCTGTCTTCTCCTTTTACAGATATACGCGTATTAAAAACATCATGATGTACACATATGGATATCCCCAAATATTCCCACACGGTCACACGATTGTGGGTGTTTGCTGCCACGGCAATTTGTGGCTTTAGTAGACACGCTTGCGGAGTGCAAGTAAGGTGGAGTAACATTTCACGACCATATTTTCTAAAAACAGGCATCACTTATCTAAGAAGAAAACTTTCATGACATAAATATGTATTTAAAGCACCAGTAAAAATCGTGGTGGGTGGATAATATGCATTAGGCAAACAATCATATCATATCGGTACCAGAATCCTCTAAACGTTCCCAGGAGGGTCGATTAAAGGTCACTGTTTTGGGGATTTGAATGCCCTTGTCACCCGGCGGGGAGTCGGTTGGAGGTGCTCCTCTAGCCGAACACCAGTTGTAGAGGTTCCCTACCCGGGGACGTGGAGGCAGCCGACGGCTGTTACCCAGAGACCGCGAGGAACCACTTTGGATGGGTTTCTAGTGGAACCGGCTGGCTCCCGGGGCTCGTGGAGATCCACCCTGCGTGCGCCTGCAGGTGACAGAGACTGCTAGGAAAACCAAGCAGGGCCCCGAAAAGAGGTGCAGGGCACTTCCTGGCTCTGTCTGTGTCTCACTGTCGCCGTCCGGCGTCTGGAGGCCCCCCCGGAGCCTCTGGCTTCTGTTCATGCGGGAAAGGGCTTCTGACCCGGGGCCACGCAACCCCCAAAATATATCTGCACGCTTATGTCTGCGTGTCGTTTCTGTATTTCTGAGAGACACCCACTAGCTTCCCTCACAACCCAGGATGGAGGACGAGACTCGGCTCAGTTCATTTTTAAAAATTAGTTTAAATAAAGGTTTATTTTAGAGCAGTTTTAGATTTATCGAAAAATTGCAAAGAAAGTTCAGACCATTCTCCATATACCCCCACATCTAGTTTCTGTTACTAACATTTTATATTGGAATGGCATGTTTGTTACAATTAATGAGACAATGTCGATACATGGTTATACCTTAACATCCATACTTTCATCAGGTCCCTAGTTTTTTCTACTGTCCATTTTCTGGTCTAGGACCCAGGTTACTTTGAGTCATCAGGCAGGTTGTGCCTTTTCCTTCATTCTAGGATTCCTAGTACCAGCAGCTTAAGATCATGTCTATTTTTTCAAATAAGGATCCAGTGACGTGGATTAGAAAAGTCAGATTAGACCATGATCCTGCAAATCCCTGACATGCCAGGATTCACATCGCTGTTTGTACTTAGCTCATGATTCCTCGGGGATGGGAGCTTGTGGACCCAGAAGCGTGTTTCATTCCTTGTCATGCGGGATCCCTGACAGTGCCCAGCAAAGGACTGCCTGGTCAGCCTTTGTATTTGGCTGGCTTAGAGAATTCTTCCATGTCAGTTTCTTTATAAAGGGGAGTCCTCCTCTGTTCCCGTAGGATAAAAGAATAACATTCAAACCTGGGTTCTGGGCCTGAGTTCAAATCCCATCGCACACTGGCCTCTGAGCACCAAACGTCTATGCTGAGGTCTTGGGAGGACAGTGGCAAGGCTGCGTGTTGGGAGACACTGGGGAGCCCTGGCCGGCTCGCAGTTCCCGGGGCACGCAGCATGCTGGTGTGTGCAGAGCCTCACTCAGAGCTTGGTGTAAACAGGCAGGTTTCATCACAGAACCTTGTGTTTATCAGTACAGATAGGTGACTAGCCGATTGTTTAACTTGGTGGGGACGGTGGAGACCCTGGGCTGGGTGGGTGATCACAAGGAGAAATGACGACAGGTGCAGGAAGGCCTGAGGCACACAGAGGTGGAGGCAGGTACTGGGTGGCGCGGAGACGGTGTCGGGCAGGACATGAGGGCCCGCGGCATTGGCACCTGCCCTCTGCTGTGGACGCCGCTGACAGGGCCAACTGTTTTCTTAGGATTTATCCAGTCACCGTAACTCACAAAACAACACCTCTTTGGGCAGAAATTTTTCTTAGTAATGGGAATGAGAGCAATAGGGAGAAGCATGTTCTAAATAGTGACACTATTGGAAATGCTTCCTTGCTTCATGCAGCTGTTGGATTTCGTTTCTTTCTCTTACAAACCAAACTGATTCAGCATGAAAAGTCATCTGTTTGGAAGGAGGCTTCCATCACCACCGTTCTGAGAAGGTGAAGTAGGCCATGACGGTTGTGAGAAAGACCGTCGGTGCTACCGTCACATATTTTAGCTGGTCTAGCCCAGTACTGCGGTGGGTGCCCTGTTTCTGTTTTGTTCTGCTTGCTTTGTTCTGTTTCAGGACAGGACATCTAAGAAGGAAAATGGGTCTGAAGACCACATCTGACTTATGTGTCGGGGACAGCAGTCCTAAGTCTGGGTATTTATTCCGATTTTTAGGTAAGAGCCAGGTTCTATGCCTTTCTACCTAATAAGCGTCAGTCTGTATTTAAAAAGGACTTGACAGTAGGGGCGCCTGGGGGCCTCAGTCGTTAAGCGTCTGCCTTCGGCTCAGGTCATGATCCCAGGGTCCTGGGATCGAGCCTGCATTGGGCTCCCTGCTCAGCGGGAAGCCTGCTTCTCCCTCTCCCACTCCCCCTGCTTGTGTTCCCTCTCTCGCTGTGTCTCTCTCTGTCAAATAAATAAATAAAATCTTAAAAAAAAAAAAAAAAGGACTTGATAGTATAAGAAATGCTTGCTTAAATACCCATTTTTACCAAATGGTTGCACTTCCCGTAAGATGAAGGCTTTTGTGGGGTCAGGTTGAATTTCTGGTGGAAGACAATTCTTAATGGATACCTTACGTTCCTGCCCATCCCGTGAGGGAGGCACCAAGGGCTTTGTTCTAAACCACCTTTTCAAGATGTTTGTACAGTGAATGGCACGAGAAGATGGGGAGTGGCAGGCTGGCTTCCAGCTTTGGGGGGCAGCGACAGTGCCTTCCTCGGGGAGAAGCATGGGCCCTCCCTGCCTGTTATAAAAGGCTCGGGCACCCTACACTCAGGGTTCCCTCCTGTGACCAGCTGTGTGTTCTGGTGTCGCCCTCTGGCAACCGGGGCAAAATGCTGAGACTCTGGCAAATAACAAGCTGTCGTTCATCTCGACTCAGGTGCCTGGGCTCTCCTGTAGCACCTTGAACCAGTGCTGGGCAGCTTGTGAGCTGGGGGGTAGGTAGATGCTCAGATGCTTCACAGTTGGTGACAGTACCTACCACCAGGGGTACAAATGGTATTCAATTTGCAAAATACCAACCTGCATGATAACAGTTATCGCCCTTCGTACTGATGGGAAAATTGATTCAGAAAGGTCCAATGACACAGAGCATCTCCAAAGCCATTTAAGCGCAGAGGGGAGTGGACTCTCCCACCCTCTACCTGTCGGCATCTCATGGGCTGTGGGTCTAGAGATTTAGAGAGAATACCAATGTAAATAAAGGGACACGAAGGTTTAGCTCTGGGGGAATGTCCGTGGCCTCTTGGAGGGGCTGTGATGCATGGCCACGAGGAGCCTGCCCGTTTCCCCGGGCAGCTCCCTGCAGCCCAGCTCTGCCTGGGGTTGCGCCCAAAGCAGCTCCCCTGACCAGGGCAGGTACCTTTGCTGTTTCCAGGTCATGAAGACCAGGCCCCTCATAGTTTGCACAAAGTGGCTGGACGCCTGCTTACTGCTCTGCCTCTCACTCTGGTTTCTCGCAGAGCCCGTGCTCGGGGGAAGCGCTAATGTCAAGGAGAACCATGATGCTCAGCTCTTCGCACTAAAAGGAAACAACAAAACCAGGCACGGGGAAACAAACAAACAAAAACCAAGCATGAGGTGAGCATTTGTTTTTAGCTCAGCTGCTCGAGGAGAGACGTGGGCAATGCGTACGGGAAGTGACAGAGACCAACCTCCCCTCCCAGGCGGCCTCCAACAGGAGACCTCACTGCCAGGGCCCAGGCAGCTCACAGACTCTTCCGCCCAGGTTCACAGCTTTCGGTGGCAGGCCTTCCTGCAGAACTTGGGAATTGTGCTTGCCTGTACTGTGCAGGAGGAAGGAGGAAGTGAAGCAGCCGAACTATTGACACACCAAGAACATTGGCACTGTGGCCTGGGGCAGGGGTGCAAACCCAAAAGGCTACGGAGCAGGCGGGCACATGAGTGGGCCAGGTGTGCAAACACTGTTAAAGGAAAGCAGCAGTCCCACGTGAGGATGGCAGATGGCGTGCACGTGGCCTCAGGGGCACGCGGGGAATGGCTGGGTGGAAATCTGATGTCCTCTGACGTCTCCAGGACAACTGCTGGTCCCGGACAACAGATCCGGACGACGGTGCCGTGTAGACGAGCAGGCCGGGTATCTCCAGGTATGGTCCTTTTATACAAGCTAGAAATCTGGACTTTGGGGTAAAATTCCACAAGGAATCCAGTTAAAAACAATGATGAAACACGGTGGTTAAAACAAGTGCACGTTTGCTCGCTGGACCCCACCTGTGTAGCGGGACAGAGATGGGGAGTGCTGGTCACTCCACCATGAGCGTCGCCTTGGGGGAATAGGGTCTCTGCAGGTGTCGTTGGGTACGATGAGGTTGTGTGGCTTAGTCTGGACCTTAATGTGTAGGAAGAGGGAAATCTGGAGACACAGGGGGCGGATCACCACACGCAGACAGAGGCAGGGGTCGGGTGACACTCGTGCAAGCTAAGGAATGCCAGTAGCCCTGGAAGCTGGACCCCGCTGACATCCTGATTGGGGCGCCGGGCTCCTGGGACTCTGAGAGGGTAAGCACCCGTTGTTTTCAGCCCACTCCGGGACTTTGCTCCAACAGCCCCAGGAGCCGGTATGAGGGGAGACGCCTAGAGGACGAAGCGCAGTCAGGTGGTACAAGGAGGAGGGAGCCCGCAAGAACAGGATAGTATCTAGTGCATAGCAGTCGGCAAACCGCCATGGGGGCACCTTGGTTGTGGCCAAAGTGATAGTGTGGAGCTCGGGGTTTCACACCTTGGTTCTGTGGTCCACGTCTGGGAAACATGCACACTGCACTGATCTTTGAGATTCATGATGATCATTAGCTTATTTAAGGCTCTGAGAAGTCCTGCAGCAAAGAAAACCAGCTTAAGTCTTTCCTTCAAGTGTTTTCCTGGATGATTTGCTCCCAGGCCACACCCTTGCTCAGGGCTGCAGTTTCTACTCTACAGACACGCTGTTTACGGACACTAAGTAAATCATCTGGGGGAAGCAAGTGGAGCAAGAATTTAAGCTGGAGGGCTTTTCACCTGGATATTGTAACTTTCAGCCAAAACAAACTCAAAATTAACTGGGCCAACATTACAATTCCAAGTTAGTCAAGGATTGGTTTGGGAAATACCATTTTCTTTTTTCTTTTTTTTTTTATTTTAAAGATCTTATTTATTTATTTGAGAGCAAGAGAGACAGAGAGAGCGAGAGAGCGCATGCGCGTGTGAGTGGGAGAGAGGGAAAAGCAGGCTCCCCATTGAGTGTAGAGCCCGATGCGGGGCTCGACCTCACAACCCAGAGATCATGACCTGAGTGGAAAGCAAGAGTTGGTCACTGAACCAACTGCACTACCCAGGCGCCCCAAGGAAATAGCATTTTCTTGATGTTGCCCTAGAACTAAAAGAATAGCTAATACAGAATTATCTAGGCCACCTTCGGACCCAAGTAAGTCAGGAAGATTTGGTACTAAGACGAAGCCTTGAACAAGGTTCTTCTCAGAACAGCCTTGGTGTTGAAAGTGCCACAAGCAGGCTCCGAGGCAGCTCAGAGTTTTCACGATGAACAGACGATACCTGTCTGTGTCTTGAACGACCGAAGAAGTGATGGCCCAAGTCCTGTGAAAAGTAGTAACTGGAGGGTTGACAGCATGCTTGGCTCGCAGAGTTCCCACTCAGCTAGTTTCTAAAGTGGTCTTTGAGCAAAATACCCCTGCCTTGGTAGTCCTGTCACGTGGCCTGTTCCACGAGAGACCTTCTGACACAATTCAGGGTCTGGAAAACTTTGTCCTGGTGCCTCTTTGAATCATTGTTTCCAGGCAAAATTCCCATTTTTTGTACCGTAGGAATGTGTGCGTTCCTTTCTGTCTAGACAGCTCCTCCCGGCACAGCCCAGGAGGACCCATCTCTGCTGGGCGGCTGGGACCCTGTCAGTTTACTTCAGGGTTTAAAACAAGTTTTACCATTATGAAGAGGGTTTTGGTTCTGCTGTTATTTCTATTATCTAGAACATGCCCAATTGCTTTAATCATGCTAATGTTTACCAAACTCATTATATATTTTCCTCAACAACCTATTATACCCATCCTGCTGAGGAAAAAGACTTCTGGATCTCTGTGTAGGTGAAAGCTAGATTTATTGCACCAAAGGAAAGCAAGCCGGGGTTTGAAAATCCCACTTGTATAGGGCATCAACACATACCTTCTCTCATAATCCACAAAAAGCTACTGTTTCTCTTAGATTGTGAAAAATACAAAAAGTATGTATTTGCCCGGACAATTGTTTGATTTGGGGCTATACCTTGTGTAAAGGTGATTGATCAATGAAATATCTCCTTCTGAGTTTTGTTTATAATTCTTTTGCACTGAATTACATGTAATTTCAGAAGTCAAATGGTCACTCATTAGAATGGGATGCTTGCCTGTTGGTATTAAATGTGGCCTTCCCAGGATCTGATTAGGCCAGAGCTACAACATTATACTTCTGATGGTTTTCATCTACTTAAAGATTAAACATTTCTGCAGGACAATCCTCTTTTATTTTAGCTTTCTCAAAGTCTGATCTATTTCTGACTCTTGCACTAGCTCTTGTTGGACAAGTATATCTTGCCATTTCTTTGGTATAGTTAGACCTACTCTCTTTAATTTCTTATATGAATTACAAATAATCTTCCAATAACCCCAGGAACATATTTTAGTGTTTACTCTTAAGTGCATCTCACCTTAAAAATTATTGCATTTCATCATTTCACTGCCAAGTAGCAGATGCTCTTTCCCCATGTATATTCATCATCCAAAACCAATGTTATTGGGGCGCCTGGGTGGCTTAGTCGTTAAACGTCCTTTGGCTTAGGTCATGATCCCAGGGTCCTGGGATCGAGCCCCGCATTGGGCTCCCTGCTCTGCGGGGAGCCTGCTTCTCCCTCTCCCACTCCCCTGCTTGTGTTCCCTCTCTCGCTGTGTCTCTCTCTGTCAAATAAATAAACAAAATCTTAAAAAAACCACAAATCAATGTTATTAAAATCCTTCACCATTACATCAGAAATGCATGCATTTGGTGAATGATTCCTATAATTGAAGCTTCATTAAGTTTGTTCCAATATATTTAAATTCAAATAGGAATCACTCTTCTTAATATCTAATAAAGCTTCCATCTCAGGAACTGCAAAAATTTTAATTAATGTATAAACAATTCTAGTATAAAGGAATGTACGTCTTCATTTAAAAACCAGACCCCAAACATAAAATGTTGAAAGAATAAATACAAGGGATGTATCATGGTGAATGAGCACTCAGGAGTTGGTAACAGCGCTGGCTAATGCTTCCATAGAACTGATTACCTGCCAAGCATTGGCCCGAACTCTTTACATGTGAATGAACTCATGTAACTTCCGATGAGCCTGGGAAGCAGGTGCTAGGATGGTGCCCATTTTACAGAGGAGGCAAGTGAGGCACACAGCTTAATCAACGTGCCAGCTAGTAAATGCTGGAGCCCAAATTTGAATCTTGGCAGACTTCAGATTTTCTGCTTTAGCCTTGACTCCTTATTAAGTAACCCAAAGACTCAAAAGAAGAGAAAGCAAGTGAGAGAGAAAAGGAAAGCTCTATGCAGACAATGATGTTTGTCAAACGTTCTGGCCATGACCACTCCATGTAGAGGTCCTGTCTACGCACAGGCAGATACAAACTGGGACTCATCGTTTCAACTTGCCTGAAGCCTGACATTCTCTATTCTACTTTCCTTCATTGAAAAAAGTGCTGGTTTAGGGTCGTCTGTGTGGCTCAGTTGTTAAGCGTCTGCCTTCGGCTCAGGTCATGGTCCCAGGGTCCTGGGATGAAGTCCCACATCGGGCTCCCTGCTCTGCGGGAAGCCTGATTCTCCCTCTCCCACTCCCCCTGCTTGTGTTCCCTCTCTCGTTGTGTCTCTCTGTCAAATAAATAAATAAAATCTTAAAAAAAAAAAAAAAGAAAAAATGCCTGGTTTAGAGCCACTAAATTGATTTCATGACCCACAAATGGGTTATGACTCACACTTTGAAAACTACCACTCAGGTGGAAACCCTGAGTAACAGAATGAGCATGCGGAGCCATTTAAAAAGGAGAGACATCTGTACAAATTCTGAATTCTTATTCTGAAGATGATGGACAAAAACTTCAGAATCAATTATTCTAGCTTTCAGGTCAATATGAAACAGTGGTATGGATTAAACCTGAAGTCTCAAAAATTCTAACATGTTAACAAAATACTTAGGTTAAATTTTTGATATGGGCAACAAATAAACAAAACACCACAATTTAGGATTTGTAATTATTTCTTAAATTGTTGTCAATATAAATGATGAGCAACTTAGTTTTTGATTTATCTATATTACATTTCAGAACATTTTTAGGCAGTGGGGATAAAATATTCTACTGATAATTTTTTTGGCAAGAGACAAAATAGCCCCACATGATCTGCTTAAGAAGGAAATAATATTTAAGAATATTTAGCATATTCCTCACATTCAACTACATAATGTTACATAACGGAAGTATAAAAATGCAAAGTAAAATACAATCTCAGCTGATGAATGGGGATGACAATTCCCTAGGGCAACAAAGTAAGTACACGGAGGCAAATGGTATCTAACCAGTTGACAGTGGTATCAGATGGAATTGTTGGTAAGTGTAGTAAGAATAAAGGCCACTTGCACAGTTCAAAGTGTATGAAAGGTTCAGCCCTCAAAGCAAGCCTTTTGGAGTCAAATATATAAATGTGGCTCTGGGTTCATAGCAGTGTTCAACGATGAATGTACATTCAAATTTGACCCTAAGACTTAAACCCAAGATCAGATTCAAGGTTCTAATAACTACTGGGTTATAAACTCTTTGAACCAAGAACAGTTTCAAAAATATTGCATTACTTCAACATTTAATTTTAGGCTTATATGAAAATGTTTCAGGAGCCCACAATAGATAAAAAAATTACATGCCTAGAATTCACTTATTTTTGACAGCTGAGTCCAGTGATGGTTACAAAGTATCTAGACTTTGGCTCAATAAAGCAAGTGCTAGAACAGACCATCAATTACAGTAAGAATAACACACTATGATTATAACGGAAGCAAGATACAGTGTAACTTTAATGAATGGAAACA